GTGTTGTGACCATCTTTAGGCATACCTTGCATCGAGCTTTTCCGCGTGGATAGCACCCTGATTGAATTTCGGGGGGGGGGGGGGGGTTGTTTTTGCTCTGACAAGAATGTCCTTCAGATTTTTATCCCTGAGGTACGCCACATGAGGTGGCTTCGAGAAAATAGAAGTTAGTCGTTTGCTTTGCCTGATTAGGTTGAAATGGCGGGAAAGTATGTTGTAGATTCGTGGCGCTGATGAGGAGTAAGTTAGTACAAGGTTCGTTTGGGAAGTCGTTTTAGATACTCTGTTAGGTCTCTTAATTATATCATTCGTGTTCACGTTACGAGCACGTAGTATGACATCGTCAATAATGTTTTCCGGATAATTTTGTTTCAATAAGGAATGCTTTAGAAGTTCTGAGTGTCTTTAGGAGTTCTGCGTGTCAATCTTCTTTTGGGTTGACACCCAAAAGAAGATTGACTTCTGAAATGTAAGTCCAGCTCATCGCTTCCCAGTTGCAGTGCCACTTTTTTTAAAGTATGAAAACTTGCTGACAAACGAATTAGACATGAAATGCGTAAATCAACATTGCAAGTGTACCTTCGTGCTAGAATAGCCCCCAAGGGTATGACACTCAACCTCACACCAGCCGCTACAAATCTGTGTGAACACGACCAAATATTATGGAAAAACGTCCTGCTTGAGGCATCTTTTAAGTTAACAGAAATCACTCTTAATCACAGTGATAAGCAGGTAAAGAAACTGGTCACTATGACCAACACCATTCTCCACCACAACACTTTATCGAACGAAGAAATGCCCGATTAACAGAATTTGAACAGAATGAATACCAAGCCATCATGACCACAAAAATTCATAAACTCAAAAGAGACCATGTGCCTAAACCCGCGTTCCCTGATATAGTTCCTTATCACTTCAACACCACCACCAAGGAAATCACTAATGGTACAAACGAGCACCCATCTAGGAACACACCCTGTGACACTGTGGTTGTAAACTTATCGGACACGAGCTTGTCACCTGACGAATAAAAACTGCTATCTAAGGGACTAAGCTTCTGCCCGGCCACAAAATTTTTCGATGAATTCCACTTGCTCCGAGGCCTCGACAACTTCGCTCGAAGCTTAAGGTTGCGCGAATATTTCTTGGACAGGCCTTCTAACCATGAAACAATTCACCGTCGTGGATCAAATGATTGGACAGCGAACAGTAATCGAGACAAGTGCTTGGACCTTTATATCACCGCAGTAAAGAAAGATATAGTACACGAGTACCACAGACAGAAAGGAAACCGAGAAAACTTGACAAAATCTGAAAATATAAGTATGAAAAGTTTGGCATCTAGGACAGACATAACAATAAAACCCGCTGACAAAGGAGGAGCAATTGTAGTTCTTAATACAACCAACTACTTACAAGAAGCATACCGCCAACTAGATGACTCAAGATTTTACGAACGCCTCCCAGGTGATCCGACAGACGAATACAAACGTATCGTATCAACAGAACTAAAGAAACTGTTGGATGCAGAAAAGACAACCAACACTGACCACAAACTGATGCGAGCAGCATACACTCGTCCAGGTCGCTTCTACATCCTCCCAAAAATTCATAAACCCGGTAACCCAGGTCGACCAATCATATCAGGCATCGGTACAATAACTGAACCCATATCAGGGTAAGTGGACAAACTAATAAGCCACATTCCATGCAGCCTCGCGTCGTACATAAAAGACACCACACATTTTCTCCGAGACATTGCAGGTCTGTGTGTGCCGAAAAACTCGTACTTGGTTACTCCTGATGTCTCTTCATTATATACAAATATTTCTCATGATGACGGCATAGCTGCATTACAAAACATGTACACAAAACTTAGACAATCTAACCCCCCAGATTTCTCTGCCATTGCAACTTTGACGAGGATGGTCCTCGAATTAAATTCATTTGAGTTTAACCAAGAGTATTTTCGACAAATCAGCGGGACCGCTATGGGCACCATAATGGCACCTAATTATGCCAACAAATTGATGGAAAAGCTAGAATCTGAATTCATTGCACAAAGTTCCTTGAAACAATGTTATACAGAAGATAAATAGACGACATCTTTCTTATTTGGACCCACAGCGAGGACGAACTTCTCCGCTTTATCGACACTTACAATGCTGTACATCCGAACATACACTTCACACACACATACTCGGAAGTAACCGTAAATTTTCTTGATGTTACCATAACGATAGAAGAAGAGAAGCTCTCTACAACCCTATATCGCAAACCAACATATCGACAACAATACCTTCATTACCAAAGCGATCACCCGCGCCACTGTAAAAACAGTATTCCATACAGCCAGGCTCACCGGTTTAAGCGAATCTGCTCTAGAGACACTGATTTTGACACGAGCTCACAGACGCTAAAACTTATGCTCGAGAAACAAAAATACCCCCCACATGTTTTTAATGACGCTGTTCAAAAAGCGAGAAAACTAAAGCGTGAAGATTTACTTATGAAGCGACCACCACAAGAAGACCCACAACGAACAAACCTCTGCTTGACTTACAGCAGAAACTTCCCCAATGTAAACAAAATCCTTAAATGACATTACAACATTCTGGAACAAAGTGAACGTCTGAAACGCGCATTCCCATCCGCTCGAGGCGTCGTTTACCGACGACCACGTAACCTCAAAGACACCCTTGTCCACTCTCAAATTAACACATCACCCCCCAATAATTCATGCCACAATGTCTTGTGTGTAAGGCGATGCGAGAAACAGATAAATCAACCAGCACACAATCCAAGTTTTCGATTAACATACGAGGAAACCTAACATGCGATTCTTCTAATGTGGTATACCAACTCGAATGCAACGTGTGTGGTATGCATTACATCGGACAAACAGAAACACCATTTAGGATTCGCTTCAATATTCACAAAGCCCATGCGAAATCAGCCCCAAGTCTACCTCTATCAAAACATCTCAATCTTCTCGACCACGCAATCGACAAACTATCAGTAACACTCTTAGAGACGGGATTTAAATCAAATCGAGAACGTGACCAACGAGAGTCATACCTTATCCACCGATTTAACACCCTCGATAGAGGAATAAATGAGAATCCTGGTACACTTGCAGCAATTAAAGCATTAGAAAACAATAACGGCAATAATGAAAATAGTACTTGAGTTCACGGCACTGCAGCTGCGAAGGGCACTGGACAACCCAAAACAATTTCAAGTGTAACTACTCTTCCTGAGTGCAGCTGTCGTCTGTTTTCTGTTTTATTTTACTACTCAATCAATTGTGCCATGCATGACATGCCCAACAGCAACCCTGTGCACAGCCGGGAGGCCCCCACTACACGCGTAATCCAGAAGCGGGCAAGGAAACGCATTGCGCCCGCTTACCAGCCTCTGCCGCAATACGGGGCACCCCTCTTTTTACGACGAAATGTTGACAGGGCGCTTAGTAGTTAAAGGCTTTGAACTTCCTAAAATGCCCGCTTAGCAGCCTCTGCCACAATACGTGGCAACCCTCTTTCTACGACGAAATGTTGACGGGACTCCGAGTAGTTAAAGGCTTAGAACTTCCTAAAAAAGCTCTTTTTTGCCTCACACCGAACCACTAGTGCCAGGAGGCGCCGTCTGGTCGGGAGGAATGCGTTAGTGAAAGGAAGCATACATAGACCGCTGACATGAGAAAGGTGAAGAGGAGAAGGGGGAGAAAAATGAAGGGGGAAGTGGAAGGAAGAGGGAAAGGGGGGCGCCCGAGGGGAGTCCACCGTATATTATTTTTCTCTTCTTTTTCTTTTTGTCTTTTTTCCTCTTTCCTTGCCCTCTGATTTGAGATTGTATATAGCTGAGCACCAACAAACTGTACCTTTAATCCTAATGAAGGCCAGACTCTAGGCCAAAACGCCGAAATAAACCACGTTGTGACCGCTCACAGAGGATCTACTGGACTATATGCAACGCTACGGCCACTCAACCGCCATGCCTGCCTATATATATATATGTATATATATATATATATATATATATATATATATATATATATATATATATATATATATATATATATATATATATATATATATATAATTTTGAAACGTCTCGATGTGATTGCGTGCACAATGCGCACAGCACAGGTTTTCTGGAACTTACGCGGCCGCTAGCGATAACAGTGGAATGTTCTATGGCACATGTATAAATGCCCACGTCGCACCGCTTCACAGATTACACAGATTATCCACGGCGGCTCTCTGTTTGCAGATATCAGTCTACAGCGTGTATTGTATGTACACTGACGATTCATTTTTAGGGCACAATTCATCCATATAAAATGTCGTCTTGAAAGGGCTGACTGCAGCTTTCGCGTGCATCACGGCTTCGTTCCAACAAAGGGAGGTTAATCGTAGACATACAGATATTTTTGATTGGTACGCGAGGTTTACGCCCCAACAGTCCGGCAGACAGTCCGGCAGCAGTGCACGAAACGGCCAGACACCTAAAAGCACATCTGTGACTAATTGCAGGAAATATCCACGTGGTCACCTTGGCAGTTTGATACAACGATGCCTCTTTATCGACGCATGATCTGCAGTCCATCGAGAACCGGCATTTTGACGCCCCTTGCCTGATTGCTGGAAGAGGGTGTCACGGATTCGGCGCAGAAGGCTCTCAGCCGATCCTCGGCTGGCTTTATAAGAGCTAGAATTCTCGTCCTCTGCACAGTCCGGCAGCAGTGCACGAAACGGCCAGACGCCTAAAAGCACATTTGTGACTATTGGCAGGAAATATCCACGTGGTCACCTTGGCAGTTCGCTACAACGACGCCCCTTTATCGAACCATGATCTGCAGTGCGTCGAGAACCGGCATCTTGACGCCCCTCGCCTGATTGCTGGAAGAGGGTGTCACGGATTCGGCGCAGAAGGCTCTCAGCCGATCCTTGGCTGGCTTTATAAGAGCTAGAATTCTCGTCCTCTGCACAGTCCGGCAGCAGTGCACGAAACGGCCAGACGCCTAAAAGCACATCTGTGGCTATTTGCAGGTAAGCAAGAGGTATTCTGGTTCAAATTGTTGCTCTCTTGCACTGCTGCCGGACAAAATATTTTCGTTTCGAAGTTGTGTGGAAGTTGCCTGATTGCTGGAAGAGGGTGTCACGGATTCGGCGCAGAAGGCTCTCAGCGATCCTTGGCTGGCTTTATAAGGCTAGAATTCTCGTCCTCTGCACAGTCCGGCAGCAGTGCACGAAACGGCCAGACGCCTAAAAGACATCTGTGGCTATTTGCAGGTAAGCAAGAGGTATTCTGGTTCAAATTGTTGCTCTCTTGCACTGCTGCCGGACAAAATATTTTCGTTTCGAAGTTGTGTGGAAGTTGCTATTATGAGTAAGGGTGACAAAAAGGAAATCGCAACGTTATTCTCTGATTTTCAACGAGAAATACGTGCCAAAATAAGGTCACTAGATGAAAGTCTGAAATTCTGCAGTGATACATGCGATGAAGTAAAAGAAATGGGCACCGATATCAAGGCACTAAGAGCGGAAAAAAAGCACTGGTTTCTGAAAACGAAAAACTCAAAGCCGAAAACTATCGGCTCGAAAAGAAAGTCGAAGAACTTGAGCATTATGAAAGAAGCAACAATCTTGAGATAAAGGATGTACCAGATGAACTTGACTCAACTGTCGTCGTGAAAAAGATAGGCGAGCTCTTTGGAGAGGCAATATCTGATAGCGACATCGACACCTGGCACAGAGTGTCGGCGGCAAAAAGGAATGAATGGAGTATTGTTGTCCGGCTTATCTCGCGCAACAAGCGCAATGCGCTGCTCGCAAAAGCACAGAAAAAAAAGGATCGTCTTCACTCACCTCGATTACGAAGGCACGGAAAGTGTCATCTATGTTAACGAGCACTTAACGCGGCAGAACAAGCAGCTTCTTGGTGCCGCTATAGCAAAAAAGAAATCTGCAAAGTGGAAAATCGTATGGTCTAGTGGAGGAAAATTCTTGCTCGATGAGATGAAACATCTGCTGTAATCCGAATAACAAGCGTTCTTGATTTAGTCCTCATTAGGTAAAAGATGGTGAAGAGAAAAACTTTCTCCCCGATATGAATTTTCGTTAGTTCACAATGTCGACTCTACAAACAACAATTTCTATACTAAATAAAGGCTCTTTTACCGTACTGCATCAAAATATAATAAGTATTGGGAACAAACACGAGGATTTTGATGTATTTATGAGTACTCTTCACGCAGACATCGATGAAATATTGTTTACAGAGGCATGGCTGTGTAATAGGGATATTTCTACCGTGTTTACAAATTATAATATAACGCGCCTGGATCGCACAGGAAGGTTTGAAAGGTTGGCGATATACCTCCAGCAGCGCTATTCCTTTCAAACGCTTGCTGATCTGTCTGTGAGTTGCGGTGACATAGAGTGCCTAGCAATTGAAACAAATCATTTTTTTATTGCTGTGGTATATAGACCCCCCAACTGGATATAAGCGACATTTTCTCAGTCACTTGGAACAAGTATTGCATTGTTTTATTGAAATAAAAAAGCCATTTTTGATTATGGGTGACGTATATATCAATATGAAGGGTGAAGACGTGTATGCAATTCATTTAAAAAACCTTGTATCATCATACGAAGCTCGAAATGCCATTTTAGATTCTACCCGTATTATTACCACTAGCTCCACGTCACTGGGCGTATGTATAACAAGCTTAAATAGCGATTACACTGCAGGAACAATATGCACAGACCTAAGTGATCACCTGCCTAATTATATTTCTACAGAAAGCCTGTTGCGTAAAAATAAACGCCCAAATGTCTCTTGGTTTAGGTCTATCAATGACGATTCTCTGTTTAACTTTGCTGATTTGATTGAACAGACAGACTGGTCACCTGTGTATGTGCAATGCAATCCAGATAACGCATATGATGCTTTCATAGCTATCTTCCTAGAGCTCTACAATACTGCTTTTCCTATACAACAAATCAGGACACGGAAGGCTATGAATAGAAAACCATGGATCAACGATGACCTCTTAAAGCGCATCAAACACAAAAATACGCTTTCTCACAGACTTCTTGCTACTAGAGATGTTGAATTACTGCGCAAATTCAAGCAATTCCGTAACAAGCTGAATAGTGACACTAGAAAGGCTAAACTTGACTATTACGAAGCCATCTTCTCGAGCATAAAATTAGAACCAGCAAAAATATATAAGCAAGATAAATTCTTTAACTGGAAGAACAATAGAATCAAGTACACCTAAGCAAGTAAAAGCTGGTGATATCATTCTAGAGGGCACAGTATTGGCGAATACATTTAACCAATACTTTGTAAATGTGTCTGTGAGTGATGAAGAGGCAACGCAATATAACAACGAGGCAAATGTTTCCGTGAATTTTCTCGTACTACACAAAATATTACCAGATGAAGTCTACCGGTATATAAAAAAACTAAAAACGATCGTTGCAAGTGGTTATGATGACGTAAAGGCAGCTCCAGTTAAGGTCATCGCATCAGTACTTAGCCCTGTATTGGCATATATAATAAATTATTCTTTTTTGACTGGAAGCTTCCCGAAAAAACTTAAGGTGGCCAAGGTTACACCTATCCATAAAGGTGGCAACACCTGTGACTTAACTAATTATCGTCCGATATCTGTGTTACCTGTATTCTTGAAAATTTATGAGAAATGAATAAATACGCGCCTCGTGAAATATCCTGAGAAATATAATATCTTATTACCACATCAATATACATTTTGCAAAAATAGGACCATGGAAGAGGCACTAATTAGCGTAAAAAGTCATATAATCGAAAACATTGAAGGTAAAATGTACACGCTAGGAGTCTTTCTTGATATGCGCAAAGCATTCGATTTGGTTGATCACGAAACTTACTGCTGAAATTAAACCGCTACGGTAGTCGCGGAGTAGTCTCCGACTTATTTAAAAGCTATTTATCATCGAGATATCAATTCGTTAGCATAGACAGTGATAGGTCTGAATATTTAAACATAAAAAAGGAGTTCCTCGGGGCTCCATTTTAGGCCCCGTGCTTTTTCTTTTATATATAAATGATATTACAAAGGTTCAGTATACAACTGAAATTAAAATGTAGAAGCTTCAACAAATCTATACTTTTTGAAACTATCAAGTTGGCTAACAAAAAACAAATTAAAATTAAACACACAGAAAACTAAGTTTATTATGTTCAGACCTATAAACAAGCGAATAAACGATAATATAGTCATTTCGTTCAGCGATCAGTGACTAGAACAAGTCCGTACACAAAAATGTCTCGAAGTCTGGTTTCACGAGCACCTGTCATGGACGCCTCCCGTTAATTGTCTCCTAACAGATCTAGCTCGTTCGGTGGGCTGTTTGGGTAAAATCGCTTTCCTCCTCTCCTCATGGTTATTTAAATCGCTGTATTATAGCTTGTTCTACTCTCAACTTTTATATGGAATGTTGGTATGGGGAACAACAACTAAGAGTAATTGTGATAGATTAACAGTCTTACAGAAGCGCGTGCTTCGTATCATAGAAAAATATAAAGGTCATCCCAGGGACCTAGACACTGAAACACTTTTTCTCAAACACAAAATTCTGCCTCTTAGAAAAGTTTATATTATTAAGCTGATGCAACATATTCATAAACACAAAATACAGGATTCCTACCCTCGAACATTATAAACTAAATACGGCTTCAGAAAATTTTCCCGCAAAACTAAGAAAACACGCACGAATTACGGAAAGCAGGACATTGATTACAAAGTTATTCAGTTGCTAAACCTTCACGAATCGAATATAGACTTTACACTGAAATCTAAACCATTTAAATCTCATCTTAAATCACTTCTTTTTTCGACTGACGTCATTGTAGACCCATAGTCATTTAAACGTAAGAGCAATGGTACGTTCTCTTTGTATGTATTTTTAAGATTGTTCACTATGATTGCAAAATGGTATTTGCTCCAACAATGTGTGGAACGAAGCTTATTTTAAAATGTGTGCTTCTGCTTGTAATGCCAAAAGTGCATGTTCTGAATAATTGATTATTCTGATTATATGAAAGAAATTATTATGGCATGGCAGTATCTTCTACCAATGAAATATGTAACCGATGTATACAGTTGTATGCTGCTGTTGTGTAAGTGTATATGTCACTGATGCACACTGTTTCTTGGTTAATAGGGGGTGAAACCTCGTCAGGCTTTTAGCCTTTAGTCTTTGCCTCCCGCAGGAAAAAAAATCTGTATCTTTTTTCTCCTGCAAATAAACAATGTTGAATGAATGAAAACCACCATAAGATTATGAGAGACGCTGTAGTGGAGGGTCCGGAAATTTCGGCCACCTGGCGCTCTTTAACCTGCACCCAAATCTGAGCACACAGGCCTACAGCATTTTTGCCTCCAACGGAAATGCAGCCGCCACAGCCGGGATTTGATCCCGTGACCTGCGGGTCAGCAGCCGAGTACCTTAGCCACTAGACCACCGCAGTGGGGCTTCATACGGATATTTACACTGTATATTCATGATGGCGTCGGGTGCTCTGCCTGTCGCCATTTCTGCTATTATTAAAATTCCGTACGTTAAGGGCGAAGTATGACAAGTCTGGCATCACTGCGTTGAAGTGAACATTCGCTCTCGGACGCAATAACTTGAGCAATCGCTTATAGCCTATATTTCACGGAATTGCGGATTTCAGGCTTTTCAAGAAAGTGACCCTGTTGAAAACCGCACATTTTCCATCAGTGTGGATTCAACCAGGTTTTTAGTAAATATGTTTCGTTATTGAAGACCATGGCGCCCAAAAACGTCATACAATAAAATTTGTTATAAAAATATTTCAGCTAATCACGACGTGTTGTACACATCAACAGCATCGCTCACTAACCAATCAAAAAACGTATTATGGAAAGAGAAATACTGTTAGTTATATTTTACGCTTTTCATTGACCGTTTCCACGAGCGATATGAAACGTTATATTATTCGGATTGCCGAAAATCTACCAACATGTGTAGGCAAAAGCGAGACACTGAGACAATAAATAGAACACAAAATCAGCAAATAAGAAAGATATGAACAAACCAAACAATCAAAAATGAAAGCAAACAAAGTCAGCGGACATTTATTATAAGTGAGAAAAAAATTGAGCGAGATATAGGGCCTCACAGTAAAACTTGAAGGACTAGATTATACATCTGTTCTTGTGATTATTCTACATATTAAAAATCACAAATGAAATAAAAAAAAACCTTCAATACGGTGAGTCGATTGTGTTATTTTTTTCTTTTTCAAGGCCTTCGCGACCGAGGTCGCAGAGTTTTCTACCACAACAAGCAAGCGGACACGTCGCTCGAAGATGAGGCTCTCTTCTGAACGGGCTTCCAAGCACACCAGACCGACGGACCACTCCACTTATACTGATCAAGAATATGACACCACTTGAATACGCGCTATGAAACGGCGCTTGTAACTCTTAAGAAGTTACATACCTTTTGTATATATCATTTCAGATTTGATCTATCCAAAGACTTTCGGAAATAAACGCCTACGGGCCGGCCAGAGCGGTACAATAGTGTGTGAACCAAGGTCCATGATTGGCCCTTTACGCTCTTTCATAGCAAAGTAAAGGAGGATTTTCAGCAGTTTGAAGCATAATATACTATAATATATTGCACCTAATTGTTTACTAATAGATATCTGTGTGACGCAAAATTATCTGAGCCTGCTTGTATAAGGCGAAAATAACCTTCAGTTCACGCTGTGTGGTGGGGAGACGTCATCAGCATGTCCCCATTGTTTTTCATTGTGGTGTTTTTTCTCACTTTCTTCAACTATAAATTCATGTAGAAGTGTCTGATTTGTTCTAAGGTTTACGACAATTGATTACATTTGATCGAATTATTTGAAGCGCATATCTCGTTACGCTCTTTTGAGTCTAATCAAGTAAATACAGAAAAGAACAATGAAGTTTTGCACTGCTGCGCAAAGCAGCGAAACAGGTCGATCCGAGAGCCTTGCTGACTGCTGCTAGCTTTAGCTTTATTGGATAGGTTTCACCTTCACTGCTCCTAGGTTTTCCTAGGTGTAAACTTAGATACTACAAAAGTTCGCTAGGATTTGCTAGATTAAATTTGGGTGTTTCTCGGTTTTCCTACGTCTTCGTTATAGGCCCCATGGAAAAAATATACTCGGGAGAGACTGCTACATCACATTTTGTGCAGCCGGAAGTAGAGAAGAGTAGAGGACTCCTCGTCGCGATGTTGGGCACACTGAGGCGGCTCGCACATGCACACTGGGCACGAGGGAGAGGGAGGCTAGCCGCGCGAGGCGATTTTGGACGAGCCAGGCGACACCGTCCCCGCCATCTATCTCATAGACGTGCTGGAAGAGCGAAATGTTCGTGCTGATCATAAGCAAACGTGCTGCTATACTCACTTGTATAGCGCATTTGTGCCATTCGCAGCCTTATTACGGTTCGTATTCTGAATATTCAATACATTTGCAGCTTTGTACTTCGTGTTCGATCCGCTGATTGCAAGAGAGCGACGGCGGGAAGCTGCCGGGCAATCGCCATGACAGGCTACTTTCTTCTGCTTATACGGTAAGTTCGGGGTATGGAACGTAGCGTAACACTGAAATGTTGTTTATTTGACCCGCTATTTAGTCAGATGAAGAACCTCCGAATCTTTCTTTGCCATGTGTGGCGCGATACGTGCGCACGAGTATTGTTCGCGGCAGTGCGGGTCCACAGACTACGACCATATGAAAATATAATTGGCCAAAGATGGGGTTATCGCGCGCAAAACGTAAACAGGAAGCAATATTTCGAACATTATTCCACCTTACTATGTCAGGCATGTGTAGTTCTTGACTCGGCAACCTCCGCTGAGAACAGTGGGCCACGTACTGCTTTCCGATAGTTGTGACCGTGGTACACGAGAACGGCTCACCGCCGCCTCTCGCTTTAGGGCCGTAGACGCTGCCGTTGTCGTCTAGGAATTTTAGGCTGCCATCGCTGGGGCACGCAACAGCTCAGTGCTGAAGGAAAACAACGAAGCCGAGGCTGGCGCCAACAAATTTCGGAGAAGTGGTCGTGAGCTTCCAAAACAACTGCATTCGACCTCCAGCGATATGAACTTAACTCGCAACAATGAAGACCTCCTCACTGGAGGTCTTCACATTGAAATGCAACAGCTGCATAGAAGTGCACATTGAGAACTCTAGCCGGTTTTGAACAACAAGGTCATATGAGGGGTGATACAGAGAACATGAGAGGCTGGCGTGTCCAACTACTCCCACAACTTTCCTGGAAAACCACGTGACATCGCCACACTTTGCGCCCTCCAGCTCGAATCGCGAAGCCCTCTCCTTAACCTTCCTTCCTCGATGCTGGGCCCTAACTTTTCTCCTCTGCTACTACTTTATTACCCTGATTAACCAGCTTCACTGTTATTTTAGCCTTGCGCGGCAGTACTGACTACATTTTTTTTCTATTTTAAATGACATTAACCCATTTTCAAGTGGCTTATTCTTAATTTAGCATTACTACTATTTGTCACCAACGGCCGTCTTAAAGGTCTCCTTACATGTCCACTCAACTATGTAGGGTTCCTAGCGTCAGCATACACGCACGACCCTAACTTATCTGTCGATTGTCGTCACTATTAAAAGATTTAACGATTTCATGTTTGTGTTTCTTCTTCTTATTCACTCCCCCCCGGTTCGACCTATACGTTAAGATTCTCCGCCACACAGTTCGTAGGCTGGCCGGAAAACTTAGCGGCAGGGCTATTTTTGGATTAAAGTATTTCTCGGGGTTAAATGTTACGCTACTGACATATTTTCGGCCCAAAATAGGACGTTTCTAAAAAGCACAGCTACCATCTGAGGAAAAGCAAATGAATTCGAAGGAAAAAAATTGCCAGATCCCACAACACTGGGGGAATCGATGATATGCGAAGATACGAATAAGCAAGCTTCACAGTACGTTATGTGTGAGGCTAGTTGTTACATATTAGGCTGAAATACGTAGCGCACGGTTGACAAAGCAGAAAAAAAAGACGTGTCAGAAAGAGTGCCAAACTCAAAACTAGTTTATTTTCACGAAGAATTCATAATGTATAGGCTCTTGGAGGGACATGCGCCGACCATTTCATTCACCGCACGTGCAGCCATGACATTTTGATGATTTAACAACCGATAATTGCAGTCATGATATCTGGGAACCAGCAACAAACAAATATGCCTACTGTAAAGACGTGGAAAAAACCAAACACACCCAAGCCTGCGCAAGAAAATGCTAGGAAAAAACAGCAAAAAACGAGGCATTTCTCGCAGCCTGAACCAAGGCATTTCCCGCAGTGCTGACGAGGAAAATCGCGAGCGCTGCCTGCTTGAGGGTGCGGACTCACTTTTGCGGAACCGTAGAAATGACCGTCCCAGTTGACCACAGGCGGAGTTGTCTCGTACTTCAAGGAGCATGAACTTTCCCTTCTTCAGGCAGACAAAGAAGGCGGATTTGTGGGGATGTCTACTTCTAGTTTCCAGGAGAAAAACCAGTTCTGCTAATATGCAAAATTTTGAGTCTACAACTGTAAAAGCGTCAAAGGTAAACGTTGTGCTGTAGAATTGTGCAAGAGTTTTGATTTAGCCAATCTGGCTAAATCAGTTTTTGAATGCAAGGAAAACTTCCTTGGAAGTGTTTTCAAATGTAAAAACGCACAAAGTTGACTTGCCGTTCAGGTCAATTGTGACAGAGAATGGTACTTGGCAGCTGCAAGTGAGTCACTATCTGTTGAAAAATTTAAATACTTTAGCGTTTGTAGGTCCTTTTGTAACAAAAAGCTCCTATGACGTCATAGATTTCTTGAAAAGCAGAAGTGACATCAGTTATCTTTTTTCAATTGACGTTGAGGATCTTTTTTATTCAGTGCCTCATAATGAACTTTTATCTTGTGTAAGGGACTGTATCGACGAACATGGAGGCACAACTTTTATCATACCTCTGGCGTATCTCTTTCCAACTTCACGTGACTTTTAGAATTTTACCTTCGTGGTACCTTTGTCTTTTTTAATAATGTGTTGTTTATTCAAAGAAATGGCATTTGTACGGGCTCCTGCGTTGCATCTGTCCTTTGTAGCATTTTTTGGCGTCTATTTATTGTGCTTTAGAAAATGCCGTTGATCCAGGAAAAGTCCCTAAGATTTTTAGATATGTTGACGATTTTCTCGTGGTGTTAACTTCTACTAACCCTGTGACGCACTCTAGCGAGGTAGATTTGGTTTTGAACCTGTTCCGACAACATGAAAATGGCTTGATTTTTACGTATGAACTGCCCATTGACGAAAGCTTGCAGTTTTATCTATTAACCTGACTCTGGGCGAGGGTCATGTCTGTTGGAAGTTCAGCCAAAACAAGAAAAGGACTTCTTTCTCATAATTCTGCACATTCTAAGGTGGTGAAGAGGTCTATAGCTGCTATGTGTTTTCGTTCTGCGCTGTCCAAGTCATGCCAGCACACAGCGTTTGATAGTTTTTCCTTTCAGGTATCGCGTCTCGCTGCAGCCGGGTTTTCTTATTCGGTCTTAGTCAGTGTGTCTGAAACATTGCAGCAGAGGCTGAAGGCAGAACGCAGGAGGCCAGAGCCATTTCAAGGACAGCAGGAGGAAAAGACCGCATGTTGTACCATACATGCACAAAATCTCCCACAACCTGAAAAGGTTGCAAATCGGCCCCATGTGCCAGTGGTTTTCTCTGCTCCAAAATAAGCTTGCAAGGCTCTGTGCCCGCATTTCTTCAAGACGGTACCAAGGTGGTGTGCGATAAGAAGCACGTAAAGCTGTGCCTGCGTTGTGCTGTGGGCACTGTTTATAATATTCCCCTGAGCTGTGGCAAGGTCTATATAGGGCAACAGGGCACTGTACAAATGACCGTCTGAGGGAGTATCCTTATCAATTAGGAATGAAACAGGGTCTCATTTGCCCTTTCACTGTGCTTCGTGTGGCCTGCACGCCGCAGTTTGATTGCACGCGAGTACTTAGAAGGAGCCGGGATGCGCTGGCGAGGGAGTTACTCGAAGCCTTTCTCATAATGAAGAAAGGTGACTCGTGACGTCCGCGTGCCTTCAGTTGTGTTGCACAAACAGTCAATTCCAACTGTTGTGATCTAGATTACTATAGATGGGTTCTACGAACGTGTACTGACAGTTCTTTTTTTTGCTGTTTTTTCCTCGCAATTTTTCGCGCAGGCTTAGGTGTGTTTTGGTTTTTACATTAGGCACTATCCCAGTTGTTGTGGTTCCCAGAATTATGATGCAATTATCACTTATTACATCATTCAAAATGTTTCCTGCCTGCACCGTTGCCGGTGAATGAAATGGTCTGCGCTGTCCTCCAAGAGTCATTATTATTGTGAATGCTTCATGAAAATTACCTTAGCTCTGAGTTTGGCGCTCCTTTCTTCTCGTCTTTTTTTCTCTTATTTGTCAACCTTGCGCCACGTATTTCAAGACTGAATAAGGAAGGTTTATATCTCACTTTAAAATCAGCGCAACGTTACGACGCGG